CTAATAAGCTAGCAAGAGTGGGTTTCTTTCTCTTTTTTTAAACTAAGAACCAGGCCAAGATAGAGAGTAACTGTCTTGTTTTGAGTTTTATCCTCAGTGCCTAGCAAACTTCGGCATGCAACAGATACTCAATACGTGTTTAATGATATAGATGAATGAAGGAAGGAATATTGGATGACCTCTGACTTCCCTGAGAGAAGGAATGTGAGGCCACAGTAGGCGCTTCTCATCCTGCCCCTTCCCAATGAGGAACCACACATCTAGGTTTGTATCCAGGCCTTATAACCCCACACCCAAATGCAGGTAAAGGAAAGATGCCGCCTTGATCCATGGAGGATCCCGTTCTGAAGATCATGATCACCTCTTTAACCCCAGGGAAGGGCGAGTCATACGGGTGAATTCCGCCTCTCACGGCTGCAGGTGGGTAGCAGCACACTTCATCACTTGTTTTCCTATTTTTAAGCCCACTGTGAGCTCCTCCAGCCAGAAGCACTGGTTTTACTCATGTTTTATGGCTGTGCTGTCTGTGCCTGCCTCCCTCCTCCTCCACAATTTGAAATGAGCTCTTAAGTAATATAAAACAATGCTTCGTGACAGCCTGACTGGGGCTGGATTGCTAGGGGCGGTCACTGCACACCGAGCTGCACATTTGCAGAACTCAGAGCTGGTTGCTTAGCAACAAAATGAGATGCTGGCTTAACTAGTTCTAGACCCACATTTCCCTAACCAATGCGGCTTTAAACCTTTGCTGCAGAGCAAAGACCCCAGCAAAGCTTTGAGAAGAGAGAACAGTTGCTCATGTTGGTTGAGAGCTTACTCTGCTTTAAGCACTGTTCTAATGCTGTGCACTACATTATATCTCAATCCTCACAACAAGCCAGTGAAGTGGTGCTAGTGTTAGCTCTGGTTACAAATGAGAAACCTGAGGCACAGGGAGCCCAAGGTCACACAACCAGTAAAAGGTGGAATAGGGATTTGGACCTAGGCTGCTTGGCTCCAGAACCCATTTTTTTTTTCAACCAAGTTAAAATACTCCATTCAACAGCACTTTCAAATGCCTTTCCCTTAAAGCAGCTAAAGCAGGAAGCTCACCAATGGACAGACCTGCTTCTTGGCCAGCATGCAAAGTGAAGGAGTTTAACACACTACTTACACCGCAAATGCCTGCATCCACAGATGACCTGGTTTTGATGCCAAGGCCTTTATCACACATGACACATGACCAAGAAGATATTCTGATGACAGTTCCCTTGGAACCCTACCCACCTACCCCTCTCCAAACCCACTGGAGTGTCAATCAGACTCTGACTTGGCCCAGGGGTCATTTCTTGACCTGGCTTGGGGTGATGAGAGGTTGCGGCTATGCAACGAGCACAGAACTGGGAAGAAAAGAACCTCCTTGCAGGAGATGCTGATCAGGGCATGAGCACAAGCCCACATACAGCCTCCTGGTCAGGCTCAGCTCCCACTTGCCTGTACAAAACCACCCAGACATACCTTACTGAAGGCCTCCAGTGGGAGAAGCTGTCTTTTCCTCCTTAGCCATAAAGATCAGTGTAAACTCCAACTCCAAAACCAAAGCCCTTTACTTCTCCCCTGCTCTTCCTCCCTCCTGGGTCTTCACCCAAGGCAGTTCCCTCCTAGCTACTTTTCCCTCTCTGCCTCTGGTCTGCTAGGTTTCCTAACTTAGAAAAAGTTGTGGCTTCACTGACTGGCTCCTTTTCATCCTCAGCCCTGCGCCCTCCCTCCAGTTTGTTCTTTGCAGCTCTCCTGGGGCTGTTCCCAGAAAAAAAAAGGAACAAACATCACTGGAGGGTGACCAGGAACCATTTGTCGGTGCATTGGTCTCTTGGCTTCTGGAACATGTTCCACAAACTCCCCGGACTCCACCACGACCTCTTTCCAAATTATGTTCTCTTTTAATAGCTCCTGTTGGATTTTCCTTTGAAGCGTGGTCAGCAGACCACTATGTGGCCCCTAGTGGTCTATTAAGAGATCTTCAGGCAGGTAACTCAGGGTGTCATGAAATCATTTCATTAGCACATATTTCACCAGTTTGAAAGGAAGCTTAACTGTGGGTACAGAAATCCTGTTAGGTTCTCAATAATCATTACACATACACAGATTCACACATGCTACAAACATTGCTCTGTGTTTTGGTTAATACTCAGTTAACTTCTTTTCACATTATTTGCATTTAGGATATTATTTACTTTTGTTAAATTTGTACACTCTGATTTTATTATTGTGTGGTCTTATATCCTCATGATTCTAAAATGGAATCATTGAAGGCAGGTGATGTTTTGGGGAGCAATGGGTGGTGAGAATGCAGATACTAGAGGGTCTGGAAAATCAATTTTTGGTGTGTAAATTTGTTATTAGGTATTGGGAAACCATTAAAGGTCTTTGTTTGCTCACTTGTTTTTGCATGTGAACACGTATTTTGCTGTTTATAACCCCAACTATCTTATAGGAGGTGAGATTCCATTAAGCAGACAATCCTCTGTTTGAAGAATACATTCTTGGGTTTGAGATGTAGTCTGGAGAGCAGGATGGGGAGAGGGGGATTTCTCTGGAAATCTGGAAACCAGTAGGAAAAATCTGGGACCTCCAGCTGGCAATAATTCCAGAATTTCTACACTGCAGGAAATTGAAGATTTGCTTAGAAGGGAGACCCAAAGCTAATGCCCCTTCTTCCAGCAAAACCTTGACACTCACCAGTGCTCCTAGGAGTGACGTGAGAGGCAAGGATTGAGGACCAGAGATAGAAAACAAGTAATTTGGCAAGATGCACATAGCTCTGTCCAACCTGCACAGTGTGACCCCCTCTGAAGGCCCCTTCCCGTCCCAACTTACCATTTAAATGCTGTGTAACTAAACACTTCAGAAGATTAGGTAAAATGCCAAGCACACAGAGTCCCTCAATAAATGTCTACTTCCTGCCTTTTCTCCCCAAGTCATATACTGCATTACACTAGAAGGCAGGGCTTAGGTTTTGCCTTGTCCATCTCTGTACCTTCAGCTCCTTGCATAGAGCCTGGCTTATGTAGGTGCTCAATGAATGTTTGTGTGCTTGAGAGAATGAACCATAATTTACTAAGTCATTCTACTAAGCTATGTATTAATAATTGAACATCATACTTGTTTTAAAATTTGCTTCATTATAAATATCACTACAATGAATATATTTGTCCCAATTTTGGATTGTTTCTTTAGTTTAGGCTCAAGAAAGTAGAAACAGTAAACCAAGAGGTAAATTTCTCCAAATTATTTTCTGATGTGTAAACTGACAATTCTACCAGATCTTTTAGCATTTTTCTTACCAATTTGTATGAAGTATTTAGATAATGAAGATATTAACTCCTGTCTTATTTACTGCAAAGTCTTTTCCCACTCTTGTTGTACTTGTTGTACTACTTAAGTACTGATGTATGATTTTATTTCAGTTATACTGTAGTCACTTTTAAATTTTAAGAAACTTAAAATTGTAATTTTTTTTTCTGGAAAATTTATGCTTAGGCCTCTCCCATATATAGGTGTGATAAATAGTCATTGCTATTTTCTTTTGTTGTTCCCCCCTTGTATTAGTTTGCTCTCATGCTGCTATGAAGAAATACCTGAGACTGGATAATTTATAAATTGCAGTTTTGCAGGGCTGAAGAGTTCCACAGGGCCGAGAAGGCCTCAGTAAACTTACATCATGGCGGAAGAGGGAGCAAACACGTCCTTCACATGGTGGCAGGGAGAAGTGCCAAGCAAAGTGGGGGAAATGCCCCTTATAAAACCATCAGATCTCAGCCGGGCATGGTGGCTCATGCCTGTAATCCCAGCACTTTGGGAGGCCGAGGTGGGAAGATCATGAGGTAAGGAGATCGAGTCCACCCTGGCTAACATGGTAAAACCCCATCTCTACTAAAAATACCAAAACTTAGCCAGGTGTCGTGGCGGGCACCTGTAGTCCCAGCTACCTGGGAGGCTGAGGCAGGATAATTGCTTGAACCCGAGAGACGGAGGTTGCAGTGAGCCAAGATCACGCCACTGTGCTCCAGCCTGGGTGACAGAGCGAGACTCTGTCAAAAACAAAAACAAAAACAAAACAAAACAAAACAAAAAAACCATCAGATGTCATGAGAACTCACTATCACAAGAACAGCATGGGGGGAACACCCCCATGATCTAATTACCTCTCACGAGGTCCCTCCCCCAGCACGTGGTGATTACAATTCGGATTACAATTCAAGATGAGGTTTGCATGGGAAGACAGAGCCAGACCATATCGCCCCTCCAATAGCTTATTTTTTAAATATGTAACTCTCAAATGTATATGGAATTAAATTGGTATTTGATACATGGAGAAAGGTAAGGGCCAGAGAGATTTTTCTGCATTGCTAACTACGAATTTCCTTACAATGTATTAAATAACTCTTCCCTTCACTATATGAAGGCTCTTTTGTTATATATTAAATTTATATGTCATATATTTGTATTTCTTGTTTCTATTTAATGTTTTGGTGCATTTGTTAGAATTTCCAAAAGGACATAATAAAAAGCTGGTAACACTGAGCTTCATGGTTTTGCTCTCGGTTCTCATGACAGGTTCATTTGTATTTACACATAGATTCTGGGAATTTAAGGCCCAGCAGAGCCTCCCTTAGGAGATACTCTGGACAAGAAAAGCAACAGCCCTGGGCCCCACAGATCACAAATAAACAGACAAAGATTTTTGAGCTTTATAACCACTTTGGTCAATGGGAATGTGAGCAGAACAGGGCCTCTTGGCAATGGATGTCTCCTTTTCCTCTAGGCTGAGAAACAGAGAAAACCACTCTGCAGGAGGAAAAAAAGAACAAAACACACTTGCAGAAATAGCGAGGTGAGAGTCCAGCACAGGGACTTCCTGTGCTCCTTACAGCATGCCGGTTTCTGGTCCCTGATTTCCTAAGCCCAGGTTGTTCTACGAGATAATCCAGTACCCATATGAGACTTTCGCATTTTCTTACCTTAGCTCGCGTTCCTTTTTCTTGAAAGCGAAAAAGTCTTAAGTAACAATAACTGCAAGGGATTGGATGAGCTGTCTACCACCACGGCTCACCATCACTCACAGAAGTAATCCATCAGACTCAGGGCTGAGAACATTGCTGATGACTTTAAGCGGTTTCTTGTGTCATCCAAACCCATCTACAGAGAAAGTAACAATTAAAAATTTGTACAATTCAAGGAAGATTTGGAAGAGGGGCTGAAGTTAAGATGAGTGGTCACTACACAAAGGCAAATGAAAAATGTGTCCTTCACCTTCTCACACACACCCACCCTACATACACATGACCTTTCCACTTCCACCAGGAATTTCAGATCACCTGCTTTGTGCCAGGCACTAAGCATACAATGGTGACTTGTAAATGGGTATTGTCCTCAAAGACTTTGAAATACTGTGGGAGGATAAGACTTAATTTCAACAGAATGTGGCAGGTGCTCAGAGAGAGGTTTGCAGAGAGTGGTTAGGAATGTGGAGAAAGGTCATTTAGTCCAACAAGAGGGTCCAGGAAGGGCTTCCTAGAGAATAAAAGGAGAGAAGGAATCAAACAGGGAGTCGAGTCATTATGGATGCCTCAAGTTGGCAGCAAAAAGAGCCAGATGCTCCAAATATTCTTTTGTAACAACCAGAATTCATTGCTCTTCCCTTTAACACACCATGGGGCTGAAGCGTGGAATAGTTGGGGGTGGGAGGGGAGATCAACGAAACTGCAGATTTTCTGTTTTTAAGCTTAAATTTGATTTGAGAACATTAGTAATAGAACGTGCATGGGTAATAAATGATAGAGTCTGTAGTTTTGATGGGTGCTTATTTTTGGAAAGTAGTAGGTGGCTAAAGCAATTTTGAAGCTTCTAGATTGTTGACTTTCAAATTCAATTCCTTTCACCAAAAAAAAGTAAGAACTCTAAGCTAAGCTGTGAACAAAGACTGAGAATCTATTGAAATACTTGAAGAGAACCTGTGTAATTACTATTCTCCACCCTGAGGCATAGGCCTGTAGTTTAAAGTATTTGGAAATTAGAATCAGTTATTTTTAAAATCCTGATTGGGACAACCAAGAAAGTAAGTAAATGATGAAACATACAGGGATTTTTTTTTTTTTTTAAAGTCACACTGTTGTGCAAAGTTAAACGACACAGAATAATACAAAGGGAAAAGTCAGTCCATCCCCACACTACCTTCCCACCCATAGAAATCCCACTCAGGTAAAATAAAATTTTAAAAAATGACAAAATAAACAAATGCTAATGACTAAAAGGAAAAATCTAGGAGTGGAAATTCTTCAAGACTACTTTTTTTTCCATTGGGGCCACATTTTTGAATGCAGGCAGCAGGCCCCACAGGCCCATGGGTGCCATGAGAAAACCACAGATCTTGGTCAGCAGCATCTAAATTCTAGCCATGGATGGGGGTGAAGGATAAAAGACTACAAATTGGGTTCAGTGTATACTGCTCGGGTGATGGGTGCACCAAATTCTCACAAATCACCACTAAAGAACTTCCTCATGAACCAAATATCATCTGTTCCCCCAAAAACCTATGGAAATAAAAAATTTAATAAATAAATTCCATCCAAGGTCCTGGAGAATGTTGGGAAGAGGTGACTAAAGTGATTATGGCCTACACTGAAAAGTTAGGTGAACTGCCATTGCATAGCCAGAGGAAAAGGAGGTTGAAGGATGAGCTAGAAACAACCACCTTCTGGGTGTGGCCAAACAACTGAATAACATTGAAGGAAAGGTATAGAGGCAGCAGTAAGCATGGATTTAGGTCACACATGCTGAGGCTCTTACTATAATGGTTGTTCTATTCTGGAGAAGACGTAAAATCTCTTCTCTGGGGCTGCAGGAACAGGATAAATTGCCATTCACCAGGGATAGTTCTAATATTAACAGCCTGAAAGGGTAGATGACATGGATGGTGTGCCTTCAAAGTTTATTACTGTTTTCCCCAATAATAACTCTTTTTTAAAAAATCAGAGAATGAGAAATTAAGGAAGGACTAGAAAGGCGGCAGGAGGAATGGAAGAATTTGAAATCAACCTATCTGATGGAAAACAGAGAGAAAGAGGAAGTAGGAGGAGTAAAAGCTTCAAGGGTTGGACAGAAGTGGGGAGGGGTGTTAGTGAACACAAAACTCCAAAAAACAGCAGCTGTGAGCTCACAAAACTCATACATTGAAATCCTAATTCCCAAGGTAATATTAGCAGGAGGTGGGGTCTTTGGGAGGTGACTGGGTCATGAGGGTGGAGCCCTCATTAATGGAATTAGTGCCCTTATTAAAGAGGCCCCAGAGCTGCTCTCCTGCCATGTGAGGGAGCAGCAAGAAGACACCATCTATGAACCAGGAAACAAGCTCTCACCAGACACCAAATCTACCAATGCTTTGAACTTGGATTTCCCAGGTTCCAGAACTGTAAGAAATAAATTTCTGTTACTTATAAGCTGCTGAGGTTATGGTATTCCATTATAGCATCCCAAAAGAACTAAAACAGTAGGGGTGCAAGAGAGCAAGAGGACATGAGGTGTTGGTATCGGTTGTGTGGTGTAAGAGTGGATTAGCATTTAATCTATTTTCTATGGTGTGGGACTAAAGAATTTAAAGACAATGATAAAGAAAAATTTATTTAAAACAATTTCATTTGTGAAACTGTGTTTTTTTGAATGTGACACTGTTTTAGGACTGAACCACATAAGTCTACGATCTTGTTGGGATTACATAAATTAGCCACTCATTTACTCATCAAAACCTCACTCAATGTCTAATATGTGCCAAGCACAGTACCTGAGATTCTATGATGTCATTTAGTTACCCTAGCTGTTTTCAATAATTAATATATACATTGTTAACTGTGCTTAATGACATTTTGGAATTGGACTGTTGGGTCTTTATATTGCTGAGACTCCTACTTCCTATTGAAAGAAAAGCTGTATACGTTATCCAAAGGTGTAAGCTTGTCTACTGTCTGATCTTAAATAGAATATTGAAGCAGTAGTATCCCAAATAATTTTCCTTAACTAGCATCTAACCCTGGTTTTGTAAATTAGCTTCCCAAGAATTAAAAATCAGACAGGTAGAAATACCAAAGCATAGTCACAATATCTCATAATCTAGTTACATCTTTGAATGAACCAACAGTTATAAAGGTGTTGAAGGGACACAAGGGTGGCATGGGGGGTGGGCACAATTGCCATCAGAACCATGAAAAACCTGCCAAGAATACATTAAAGTGGCTTCAGAAATGGTGAAACCTAAGTGATGGTTCTATTTATTCTGTAAAAGTATAAATATTACAAACTTTTCATTAAAAAATAAAAAATAAATATAATAAAAATAATTAATAAAAAATAAATAAAATATAAAATAAATAAAACAAAAACTAAAAAAATAAAAACAGTTGTGTTACAGGATTCCTTCAGTGCTGCTCTGCCAGCCAGAAATGTCCATGGCCGCCATGATCTCTGCCTAGGGCCTTGCTCAGGCCTGCCAGGCTTGCTCCACCCACTCCACCCAGCAGGCTGCACTCAGCTGGTGCCCTGGACCAGTTCCTGCGCCCACCATGCTTCCAGGCTCAGCCTGTGGCTGGACTAGGTGTACCACGAGTGGCTTCCATGTTGGGTGCCAGCGTCTAGACGCACACACTAGCACCTGAAAACTTGGAGATGCCAGCAACCGTGGAGCTCCAAGGGGCATTACAGCTCTTGCCCAGGGAATCCTGAAGTCTAAGTTCCCAAGAAATGTTGTAGATTTTGTGGTTTAGCAAGCCAGCCAGGAGGGAACGGTGCCCAGTGGATTCTCTTCTTTGCACCTGTAGGTCAGCAAAAGGGGGCATGTTACAGTTCTCTTGTTCCCAACTGCCCCCAGCTCAGTGAACAGGGTTATATTACAGCGTTTTTCCCACTCACCATTCAGCAGATTTCAGGTTCTTGTCCCGTGACCAAAAGGAATGAGGTATGCAAGCACTGAAGAGTGAGCAAGGCAGGGAAGAATTTTCTTGGGCAACAGAAAAGCTCTTGACCCGAGAAGGGATCTGAAGCGGGTAGCCCTCAATGGTGAGAGGGGGCCCTAAAGTGGATGGCCATCTGTGAGGCTGAGTCCGGGGTTTTTATGGGCTTAGAAGGGGGAGTGCACGCTGACTGGTTCATGGGTGAGCTTTGGAAAAAGCGCCATTCAATTGGTTAAAAGGCATCATCCAGAAACAATCAATAGAGAGAGAGAGGGTAAGACAGGGACTCCAGTTGTGGACTCTATCTGGGTCCGGCAGCTCAGTTTTCAGGCTTTAAATTGTCTTTGGTTTGAAGTTCAGGTTTCACCAGGGACTCATCCCTGTCTGCCTAGGAATCCTGTTGTTATTGGTTGAAAACACAACTAATGACAACACTTGAATTGTGTCTACACCTGGCTTGTGTTTGCCAAGTGCACCTGTGAGTTCTCCTCCATCCATGTAAAGCTCTGCTTCCCTTGATACATCCACTCCTTTGTCGTTTTATACTCCAGCTTTTATCCATTCTGCTCTTTCCCTTTGTAACTAAAATTACTTTAAAATGATGTCAAAGTAAAAGTCTGTGTTGCCCTTTTAGGTTGGAAGAGTAAGGGAAATATTGGCAACGTGGAGGGACTAGGTTTTTAATTATGATCAATTAGTGATACCCAGTACTTAATCACCATCATTTATTGACCAGTGTTCATGTAGCATCAATAAAGAGGTAGAGAATGATGCACCCTCAGGCCAGAATTCTACAATAGTTAAGGTTTGCTTCTAGAAAGGCCTATCCTCCCACATCCCTAAAATTTCCACAGTAAATAAGGAAACGACCCATAACCTGTCTTTGACAACATGCAAGATTCAGGGTTGATCTTACATTTTCCACAGATGGGGAGCCTAGAAAGTGAAAATTGGTTGTGGCAATGTTGACCTGGGTTTGAGATTGTTTCTGTCTCCTATTCACTGTGACTTTATTTAGATGTCCCAGGCTTTGCTCTCTTCTTTGCAAATAATATTATACTTCATAGGGTTAGTTTGATAATGACATGAACAAATATGTGAAATGAATCGTTGATAGCCCTTAAGCAGTGTACTAATGTATGGTGTGGACTATGGTATAGCCTGACAATTAAGATTTTGGAGACTGGAAGCAGATCA